TTCCTTGCTCACCTCACGTGAAGTTTTTTGTTTTTTTAAAGATTTTATTGGGCAATTGGGGGAGGGGAACAGACAAGTTGCTGTCCTTTTGTTCTTCAGTCTAGTTGTGGAGGACCTCACTTCACTGGCCCATATTGTTATTATCATTGCGCTCTTCCTGGGTGAGGCAATCACTCGCCGGCCATTGGACGACCAGTCACGGCAGATCTTGGCAGCTCACGGTGGCTGCTGGCCACCCATGCCGGCCTCTCATGGTAGCTTATGGCAGCCCACTGCAGCTCCACTGCAGCCTACACAGTCGCCAGCGACTCATGGCAACCCAGCTCCAGGTCGAGCTGTTGTTCACCATCTTAGCTGCAGAGGGTGCAGCGTCACTAGCCCTCATGTGGGATCTGAACCAGGGCCCTGCTGCTCAGAGCTGGCGTCCCAAGCCAACTCTTAACCAACGCGCCAGTTGGTCAACCCCACAGTGAAGTCTTAATTCACTGCACTGTAAACTCCTCCAGGGCAGGGACTGACTTTATTTGCTGTTGTGTTCTCAGGGCCTAGAATTGTATCTGGAAAATGAAGCAGATGCTTGATAAATATTGGTTGAATGAATTAAAGAATCTTCTTTAACCCTTGGCACTTAAATGTATGGGTTCATTTGTTTTTGTTTTCTGTAATACACTTAATTCTGTGGCACATGGGAATGCATTTGTTATTTAGCAATAGTAGTCATTTATTTTTTCAAAATGTTTTATAAGTATAAACTTTTGGGGGGGATGAGGCTTAAGGTTTTTTTTAATTAAAATTTATTGGGGTGACAATGGTCAACAAAACTACATAGCTTTAAAGTGTACAATTATATAATACATCATCTATATATTGCATTATGTGTTCACCAAAGTATGAACTTTTAAAAAATTAGATATAATAGGATATGTGTTAAGGTTGGGTACAAAATTAGTTAATAAAAATTGGTCCTGGACTTCTCAGAGTATATACTTTTAATTTCATTTCTTTTTTATCTTTTTCTACCCATCACATTCTATGTTAGGTAGACAAAGGGATTGCCAAAATAAGATATATATTCAACTCTTCATTATCCATGCTAATGAACAAGCTCCTTACTGTAACTATTTTCTTGTGTTTGTTTTTATACTTTTTATGAATCAAAAAGGATCAATGTTTTGGTTGAGAAAGTTTGGTTATAGACTATATAGGGGAAAACAGTAAATAAAAAATGAGCAATGCAGCAGATGGTTTTGCTATCTATTCTGCATAATGATGGCTAAGAATTTGAAAGCAAGATTTGCTATGGATCATACTTCTCTTATTTTTATCTCCTACTGCCCTCCCTTAGTTTCTGCCAACAAAAATAGATAATTAGCAGATTTTTGTATAGTAACAGATAAAAGAATTACTATCCTGCAAATATACCTAATGACTAAATATACATTATTTAGAAAAATCAGCACAAATATATTTATGTTTATCAAGTGTGAGTCTCAGGAAAACGCATGTTCAGATAAAATGTGTCTTCTTTTCCCCCCATTTATTTGGAAAACCTTGATAAGAAAAGATGAGATTCTCAAAACCATAAGAAAAAAAGGATGTATTCTCTATAGAAAAGATAGCATGAGAAAAGATTTGGATATGAGTACTATGGTCCCAGGAAGGGGTTCTGGAAGTTAATCACCACATTGTGGGGCCCTTAGACTACATCAAACTATCTTTGAACATACAATTAGCATATATTTATTCATTTATTATTTATTTAATTATCAGACATTACCCGAATACCCACTATGGGCCAGGATTTTTAGTTAGTTAGTTTGTTTGTTTTGCATTTAAGTTTACAAAGTTGAATAAATAATAAGACCCTACCCTCAAGTTGCTCACAGCTTACTTAGGGAGAGAGAAATATATTAATCTGTAAGTGTAATGGGTTGCTTAGAAATCTATACTAGATATGGAGGAAGTGGTAGAGTTGATCCCAGAAGGAAATTATCAATTCAAGCTGGTCAGAGTCTGTGTGAAACTAGCATGGGGTAGTAGAATCTAGGAAAGGTATAAAGAAGGTATCTTGCATGTCAAGTAAGGATTGGAATGATATTTTAAAAATTAATGGTTCATCATAAGAAAAAATAGATACATTGAGCATTATCCAAATTAAAAACTTGGGCTTCAGAGGACACCACCAAGAAAGTGAAAAGACAACCTACGGAATGGGAGAAAATTTTTGCAAATCATATGTTTGATAAGACACTTGTATCAAAAGTACATAAAACTCCTACAATTCAACAATAAAAAGATAAATAATCCAGTTTTAAAAATGGGTAAAGCATCTGAATAGATATTTCTCAAAAGAAAATATATAAATGGCTAGTAAGCACATAAAAAGATGCTTAATATCATTCAGCCATCAAGAAAATGCAAACCCAAACTACACTGAGATAATATTGAGTTGTCGGAAAAGTCATGACATAAATTTTTTTCTGTTTTTCATTGCAAAAATGCATCATGACTTTTCCGACAACCCAATACTTTGCACCTTCTAAATTGCCTATAATCAGAAGGACAGATAATAACAAGTGTTGGTTAGGAGTGGAGAAATTGGCATTATATTCACAAGTTCTACTCACACTCAAGGAGAGGGGATTATACAGTAAGTCCTCACTTAACGTCGTCTGTAAATTCTGTGACTTTAAGTGAAATAAGGTATTATGAAACCAAATTTTACCATAGGCTAATTGATATAGATAAGAGTTAAGTTCCTACAGCATCTCATCAGTATTATAATGAAACTACAGCGCTTTCATACCACCTGCTGTGCAGGTGCTGTGCAGGGCCTGTGCACCATGGGTGGGGACCTTGGGGACCACCTTAGACTCTGCCTACCACACAGAGTTTTCCTCTGCCCAATTCACTCTTTATCCTTTTGTTCTACTTACTGGGAGATTTCATCAACCTTATCTTCAAAATCTTGGATTGAGTGTTTTCAAAATTTTGGCAATCATATTTGACTTCTAAGAGTACTTTCATGACTTATGTATATTTAAAAAAATTTTTTTAATCTAAGATAGTTTTTTTGTAATAACCTCTCTTATCTCTCTGAGTTTAATTTACAGTTAAATTTGTTTTTTATTCTGTACCCTGCATTGACTATTTCCTCAGAATTTGTTTTTTCTCCTGTTTATATGTCTTAGCCTCTGAATTTCACTTTGAACATGTTCCTTAAATGGTGATTCTTGACTGTCTGCTCATATTGAAAAGTGGGTTACAGAGAAGATTGGAAGCTCCTCAGGCTTGTATGCTGGTTGGTTTTACTGTACAGTGATTGTACAGAAACACAGATATTCTATTAGGGGACTTGAAATGCCAACTCTTGTAGTTTCTCCAGAGATGAATTCCCTAACTTCTTTTTGGGATAACTGTCAGTATTCTCAGAGCTGAATGGAGGGAGGTATCCTCGGTTCCACAATGCAGTGTGCAGATTTTTATTTAATCCCTCATCTTTTTCTGTAGCTAAGACACACAGCTGTTTTAATGTCTCAAGTGAGTAAATCTGTCTTCAGCCAAGGAGTTCCCTGGTTGTACGGGTTGAGGAAGGACATTTTAAGCTCTAACTTTCTAATGAAAACTTTCAACTGATTTTTCTGTCTCAGCCACACAGAGGGACAAAAACAAGATTAGTGGGGCATAAAGCTTAGATAATTTAGGGGCTTCCCTTTAAGAAAAATAATACAAAATTAGTTCCTGGGCTCTGGTAGAGCCTGTGTAAAGGAGTAAAACTTGATTGATGTCACTTCTCGCTTTTGCTTTCATAGGTACAAGTGCCTTCACTTTCGCAGTGTTCTGGGTGGCGAATTGAATGATCTCTGGCAGCTACTTCAGTCTCTGCTCAGCCAAGCCAGTGTCACTTGTCCATCCTCTTTCTACCTTCAGTTATTTTGTTAACATCCCGTTATTGTCTATTATTTTTCTGTTGTTTTATTTTCTTGTGAGTGTTTAAGAGGGAACAAAGAACAATAAGAGTGTTTAATCTGTCAAGTTTAACCAGAGCTTCCACAAACTCATTTTAGAGTTGGAAGAAATCATCTAGTTCCGGGTTCCTAAAGTTGGATTTTAGGAGGTCTGTGAACCTTCTCCTCTCCAAAGTATATGCAAAATTTTGTATAGAAGTGTTTGTGGCTCTTTTTCTGTAGGGAAGACCTATAACTCTTATCAGATTCTCAAAGGTTAATATTCCTTGACATTCACAGTTGAGGAAAGTGCAGTTAAGAGAGATGAAGCTCAGACTTCTCCTTGATTCTGTGTGTCTGACAATAGAAAAGCCTTGATTCTTAGTAGAGAGGTCACCTCAGGGAAGAATTATTTAAGCTGTGAGCTTTCTGGCTCTGGCTTTTCTCAGCATACTCTAGTCCTCTCTGTTGGGTGTATAAATATGGGCATGTGCAGAATCTCTGCTTTTGCCTAACTGAAGGCCTTCTCTCTTGTTTAATGCTAGTTTTGTCTTCCATTGTGGGGAAGAGTCACCTTTCTTGAGAGAATGATGTCAATGTTTGTAAATACAGTAGGGGGGTCTCAACTTGCACCTTGCCTGTGTTTATCCCAGGGTTGGCCATTCTGGGATGTCTTTGTCTCAGGCTCCCCTAAATTTGCAAGACCCCCAGGAGTCTATCTACATAGCATCCTCAGCATCTTGCTGAGGAATAACTTTTTCTAAAGGAATACAGGCAGCCTAGGATTGGCAGGGAGGGGTAATTTGGGGCCTGTTGAAGCAATTTTCATTCAGCTCTTACTCTGTCCAGTTTCCACAAACCCCTGTCTATGTGCTAGGAAGGACCTGTGAGTAAAATCTCAAAGAGATATTTTTATGAAAATCTCTGGAACATTGGAAGAATACAGCATTGCTGTGTGGGGATCTATAAATAACTTAAGTCTGAACTCATGAAAAGTTATTCCCTACTTTAGTGCAATTGTGACGTACCATTGTTTTTTGTTTTTTTTTACAGCTTCAGGGTGCTTCTGTGGCAAAGGTAAGAGGCTCAGAGGACTTGGAAGTCATCTTAGGGAGTCAGGAAACAAGGAAAATAGTGCTTGTTGTTTGGTATCTGGAAGAACTGTAATCATTGCTTGCAAGATACCCCCTAGGGAGGGGAGGGTGCATTTGGGGTCTTGAAATTTCTAGGCATTCCAATTGCAAGCCTCTAATTTGGTTGAGCAGGGAAAACGTGGGGTACATATACAATGTGTAAGGGCTGCTATGAGTAGAGAATAGGCATGTCCTTTTGTGTTTTGAATTCAGGTATGCTATCTCATTAAAAATTCAGCAGTCAGAATGATCTCCAAGTATCATTGACCCTCAAGTCCTTTGAAGATGGGATTTGAATTTCACCAAAAGAAAGTGCTGTGATTTTCTTATGGATCATTTTCCACAGAGCCAGGCTGCCAACAACTTCCTCATATGTCACTATCTGGAGATAGACCCCTCTGTGGGTCTGTCTGAGTCTTCATTAAAATCAGTAAGAAGGTGTGAAGTGTACGGGCTGTTGGGCCATGTCCCCTACAATGCAGAAAAGCTGAGGAGCAGTTCTGCCTTTGTGCTGCCAGCAACAGCTCTCCCTGGGGGGATTAATATAGTGATTGGCCTGTGAAAGGGGCACTAACCTCCCCCATGGGAGAAGTCTGCTAATCCCTTAGTTTCTCTGATAACAGGTCTAGAAAGAATCTGTTGCGAAGGTAATTGTTACCTTGACAGCAACAGCGCAGCATGCGTGCGTCTCTCCTGGTCCCCATGTGATCCTTTGCTGTGACGTTTGTGTATTTGTACCTGTGCGAGATTCAGGAAGGCAGAGACAGCCCACGTGGATCCCTTATGCCCTGTTCAGGAGGCTGAGATGGGCCCCCGGGGGGGCAGTGTGCACTCTCCCTTTGCTGCACTCAGAAGTCAACTGATGGGACCAGAGTGGGAACTCGCAGGGAAGACAGCATGATTCCTGATATGGGCAAAGTGCTGGGTAAGTAAGGTTACCTGCACTTTCAACAAACCAATAGTCTAAAATGCTTCTCAACATCGGGCACATGTAAGAGGGTGTCTACCTTCCCTTTCCAACTAGCTGTGTGTGTTGCTGGAACAGATCTCAACATCTCATCTGAATTTTCTCAAGTGTTTCCACCGTCCCTGCCTTTCTCACTTTCATTATTTGTTCTTTCTCCTTGTGTTCAAACATTTTGTAAATTGAAGGTTGCTTTAGCTATGGGCTTCTAAGTGTTCAGGGATGAGTTGGGGACATTTCTAGATTTGAGGCCGATTTTGTGGTGACTGTTGCTCAGCTCCTCGTTTCACCTGGATTTATATACTTAGTCTTCCTGTTGTAGGCATGCCACCACCTCTCCTCTTATACGGTCAGGCTTCAGACTAGAATTCTAGCTATTACACAAAGTTCCTTATAAAACAGGCTCCAGTGTTATATGTTTCTCATTGTTTATAATTGAAGAGGTTGTCTTCATGACATATTCATAAGTGGATATATTTGATCATTTGCAGTTTCTTCCTCCCTCCTGTCCTGCTTCCTGTTCCTTCTTTTCCTAACAAAAATTATTATAGAAGATTCCTTATCTTAGGGGGATGCAAAAACATTGAGAAAAATGATCTAATTCAAACTTGTGTTTTATTTTATTACGTTTTTGGTGTTTTTCCTCCCTCTGAAGCACAAGTCTTTTGTAAACATGCTCTGTTTCACAGCAGCAAGTTATGGTGACCTGAGCATCTCAGCCTTTCCCACCCTGGGAGCACAAAAGCATTCACCTATCAGTTGCTCTGCACCCCACTCCCACCTACCCATTCTGGGCCCTGTGGAGCTCCCCTCCTCCATGGAGTTGTGGAAATTTCCCCACAAGATGATTTTAATTTATCCAGAGTCAGAGCTAGAGCTCACTACCCAGGCTTCCTAGACTGGGCTGCCACAGCTGCCAAAACTGGAATTTTGCTGTTGCTACTGCAGCCGAGCTGCAGATCCCAGGGAAAGGCTGGGCGCTGCTGCCCCGCCAGTGCCGGCATGTCACAATTCCGTCATCGCTGCCTTGGGGTGGCTCTCATCTTGGGCACCTCAGCCAATGGCGCTTGTGCCAAGTGAGAAGAAAAAGAATGCTTCCTTGTTCCACATTAATGTAAAGACAAAAGTTTCTAGAACAGTCTTAGTTATCCTTAAAGCACAATGAGTTAGATACAGTCCTTTCTTCTAGTTCAACTGCATTGCTTCTGCTGCAGCCAGAACTTCCACCTGGAACTCTGCTGTTGCAGGTGCGCTCGAGCCTGGTAAGCTGGGACTTGGCTGTCACTAACACCTTCTCATTTGGGATCCCTGCTAATATCTTGGCCAGTTCTGTTTTTGAGATTGAAAAATAGAATGTTTTGGGAATGGTGGGAAGGCTTGGGCCCCCAACTTTTGAAGTTGGGAGACAGACAGCTGTTAATTCATATGCACAGGGCTCAAGCATGCTACTGGAATGCTGGGGTCCCCTTGGGTTCTGCTACCAGCTGCTAAATTCAACTGCCCTCCAACCCTCAGGTCCTTTTGCTGAATTACTGCACCAGATACTTTGCTCCCTTTGGTAAATCTTCTATTGTCTCTCATTTTATTTGAGGTTCCCCCAATTAATCAGACATAGTAGTATGTGTGTGAAACCTAACTGGGGTCAAGATTTAATTATTTTCCCAGGAGGATCCACAGTCTCATCTCAGAGATTGTCTGTAGAAGGGTTGAAGGGTAGTGGGGTCCTCATTCTCCCTCACTTGGATGCATCTGAGCCCAGCTCCAGCCCAGCCAAAGCTCTGCATTTTCAGCCAGTTATAGTTCAGGTTTCAAATGTTTTATTTACCTGTAGCACCCCCATCCACAGGACACTTGTCATCTTCCTCTCTCCTCCCATGCCTTATCTAACCAGTGCTTGGGCATCTTCCCCTCCCTAACACACCTGCTCAGAACAGGCACCAAATTTCTCTATGTGTTTTGCGTTCGTCTATCTCTTTTCTATGGCCTTCTTTCTTTTTCCTCAGAAAGAGAGTATAAATTATATATAAATACATTCCTCACCTCACAACAATACATAATTATCTATTTGTCACAATTTTTTCCACCTCACTTGTTCAGTTCAAATGATCAACTATTTCAGACATTCAGGAATCTATAGAAACTAATATAAGAACTACCATATAGCCAGTGCCTACATTTAACAAATGTGAACATTTAGCCATCTTAGCTTCCGATATTTTGAAATAAATACAACATTACAGATACAGTCAAAGTTCTCTACTTAACTTCTCCCCAGACCGTAACTCCCTAAGGCCCCCAGAAGTAACCATTCCTGAAGTACATTTCTTTCCTTCCCATCAATGTTTTATGCATTTTGTTTATGTGTATGTATCCATATCTATACATAATATTTAATGGGTTTAAAGGTTAAATGTATGATCTTATTCAGTACATAACATATTCCAGCTTGGTAAAGGTGCTGTGACTGGGACAGCAAGAGCATGGAGCTCTTAGGTAAGAAAGCCCAAGCTTGCATTCTAACTTCACTCCTTTCTAGTCGTGTGAACTTGGCAGTTCTCTCTAACCCTCTAAAAACTCTCTAAATCTCAAATCATGGGTAGCTTATAAATTGGTTTGAGCATTAAATAAAATGATTCATGTAAGGCTTGTAGTGCAGTGTCTGTCACAGGTAAGCTGTTAATCTTGGTTATGAGTAATAGTCGTTACTTACTTGAATGCAGATACCTCTATTTTGGTAGTGGGGTCTATGTGGGGATCTATCTCTGCTTCTTGGCTGGAGCTGTGTGTGTCTGTGTGTGTGTGTGTGTGTTTGTGTGTGTGTGTGCGCGCGCTTGTGTGTGTGTGTGTACGTGTGTGTGTGTGTGTGTGTGCATTTATGTGTGTTCAAGGAGGGATGGAGAGGGAATTACTGTAAAACTTATCATCTCAGGCATATATGGAATATCTTCCCACTCCTTCTTCAAAGGCAAGATAGACTTTTTGATGTGTTGAGGATTCTATATTAATTCAGAGGAATTGTTCAATATCCTAACACCTTCTAAGGACATTATCAATAATGTGATATAAAGATTGTGTTGAAATATATTCTATAAAAGTAATTTCAATAATTCTAGTACATTAAATATAGTATAAGATGGTCCTTTATAGGTATGTTTTAACTTATCTGAGGACTCCAAGAACCTATTCAACTCTCTGTTAAACCCATCTCTAAATGAAAATTTTTATTAGAAAATAAATATGTATATATATATATACAGATAAAGGTAGTGATAGACCATCAGGTTTGGGGGGAAACTGTGGCTTGAGAGATTTTATTGACTCCTTTTTTATTCTTATAAAATATGACTTGTATTATTGCTCCTTGAAGGCATTATTCAGCCAAATACACACAGATGCTGTTGAAAGAGGCAAGGATTGTTCTTGGCTGGGGAAAATACTAAGGAAGGCTAAAGGTAGAATGGGAACCTCTTCAGAGTGGCTTTTTCTTCCCAAGTCTTAAATTAATAGGTGTTACTCAGAGATTGGTTATTTCAAATGGCTATTCTAAGTCAAAAGAGTGACTGTGATGCATGTAGCCAGAGACATGGAAGGAAATGGTGCCAAATAGGGGTGTTGAACACAAGGAAATTTTACATAGATGGCTGTTGACTGGGGAAATATTTTATCTATCTATCTATCTATCTATCTATCTATCTATCTATTTATTTATTTATTTTTTCTCTCTACAAGTTTATTCAACACCAAAATCACTGTCAGTTTGCTGAGATTATTTCCTCTTCAAAGTTGATTTTACTGTGGTTGCTGACCATCTCCACCAGTCGAGGGACTCCCCCCCCAACCAATCCAGTCTCGCTCCATTTATACTCTGACTTTAAAAACATTCCGGCTCAGGCTACATTATGCAAAAACAGGGCACACAGATTATTTTTTCTCCACAAGCTCATTCAACACCAAATAATCGCTCCAACTTTACTGAGGTGGTTGCCCACGTCCTCGACCAAATCCTCCTCTCAACTGGAATTCGGTTGCGGACCCAGCCCCGGCCTCGGCTTTCTTGTCGGTACCAGGAGGCACAGCGCTCCGTCCGCAGGTGTCCCTGTTAGCTTCCCCTCGTGTGAGTCTTGCAGGTCGCTCGCCCTCCAGACCTTTGGGCCTTGGCCTGCCGGTCTCAGGTCGGCTGCGGCGCAAAGTGGCAGGCACGATCTCGGGGGGGCAGGTGGAGATAATCACGGAGATACTGGATGCCCTCGTTGGTAAGGAACCAGTAGAAATGTCTCCAGGCAAACTGTTCCTTGACATAGCCTCGTGATTTGAGAGACTGCGTGGCTTTCATGACGTGAAGATTAGGCACATTCCTGTCTGCCAGCTCAGGGTGTTTAGGCATGTGAACATCCTTCTTGGCCACCATCACTCCCTCCTTAAAAAGGAGTTCGTAAATGGCAATCCGGTTCTTCTTGGGCATCAACATCGTTACGGCTTCTGCGTCCTGGGCCGGAGCTGGAAAGGCCCTGTGGAAATATTTTAAACAGTGATGCACTAATCCTGAGGATGAGCTGAGGAGGTGTGTTGGTTAAGCACCAAACTCTCACGTAGCCAGCCATGGGTCATGGCCTTCTCACAGTCAGTTTGAGTTCTTATTCTCTTGAATCTACAGGCATTCTGAAATTTTCATTTCTTTCACAGGGACAGGAAATAAAGAGATATGAGCTCTGGGAAATACTGCATATCTCTCTCAAGACCTGGCTCCTAATACTAGTTTTATACGTGTTTTCCAAAACTTCATGCATTATGCAAAGACGTTCCTCTCCCAAATACAATGATGTTTGTAATAACTAAGATACATGAAATTTTTTTACTGCATTTGAACAATAGCTATTACATCTTTAAGGACTACATATGGACTGTATGTAGAACTATTCAGTAAGGTAATATAAAGATGATTTTCAGTAAGGGATACATGATAATGTACACATATAAATGGGAACCAGCAGTCTGTTAAATAAGGATAATCTGAGCATAATTTCTATACCAAGACCCATTTTTGGTATGAGTTCTTAGAGAATTCGGATCCTTATGGTTGATGGATTTCAATAAATTTATATTTTTCTATACTTCAATAGGAATGTATTTTTTCTACATTTTCATATATGGACTGTTTCATTTTGACAAGAACTTTAAAATGAATATTTGCATTTATATATTTCAAATCCCAGTAAGAGATTAGGAGTAGGTAGCCTTATAGAAGTCCTTACAGAGATTTGCTGAGACAAATTTCTTATATTTTTTCTGGGAAAAATCATTGATTTTTATTATTTTTCTAGTTAATGAAAATGTGTACATCATTACCTCAGTGATAAGAATGCAGAAATCTAAAAAGGAATATGAAGGATAGAACCTGAAAGAGGGACAAGAAATGAAAAAATATTTTTATGTGGATTTAGGTATCATGAGGTATCATACTCTCAATAAAAAATGTTATATTGTTTGAGATTCATCAAGTAATTGTTATTTTTCTTCCTACAGATCACCATACCTGTTTCATAACCTCCCCTGGCCGTAAACCTGAGCACCGATGCTTGACCTATTGTAAGTCAGAAAGTCATGTATGAAAAAAACCAGCTTTGCATTTTAACCTCTTTCCTGTCTTTACTGGAGAGAGAGAGAGAGAGAGAGAGAGAGATGAGAAAGAAAAAGATTTGAATCATAAATGGTTAGAAACAAAAAAGCCTTTTTGTTTCTGTAAGCAAATGTCTGACCTTGTTCTGAATTGATGAACTGCATGGGTGCTAGCTTTACTAATTTAAACTCCCAGGGTTCCTCTTGTGATACTGGTGAGTGCTCAATAAATCATTGCTATTGTTGTTGATGAATATAGGTAACAAAAGAGTGTGGAGAAGCATTTCTCCCTTTCATGGCTTGATAATAAAAAAGTTTCCTTTTCAAACTGTTGTAGGGACACATCTATTTGTAGGTCTTATAACGGTGGGTCATTTATGCATCCTATTATAATTTGGTCTAGACACAATAGTTTTTAATCTTCACATGGAAACACATTGGAGAGAAGTAATGAGACACCATTTGGAATTGTTGGCAACTTTATATGTTTAAAAAAATGAAGTCACAAAGCAGGAGAACAAAAGACCTCATCCTGGCTGATTAGATGATTTAACCAGCAGTTGGTGTTGGCATCAAAATGTCAGCCAGACTGTTAAAAAAAAATCTAAGGGGCTGGTAACTCTGCCCTCTGTGGGGAAAAGATCTAAGAGGTGTACTTCGTTATACCTTTTGGTACACATATTTCCCTTATGAATTCCTAATTGGAAGAAAAATATGAGGACATGGCATTGCAAGAAAAGCCAACAGTGAGACACACAGTAATAAAGTGGAGGGATCTTTCTGCAACAGATTTTTATCCTTTGCAGTTTGGGAGGCAGTCAGAGTGTCAAGTCTCATATTATCACGGTGTCTGCTCCTGCCTACATCTAAGCATCCTTGGCTCACATATTGATGTTCAGAGGGAAAGATCCCAGGGAAAATGGATTGGAAAAGTACTCACATTTATTGTAAAGCCTCTGCAGTGTGGAGTGGCATGTACAATATCTTTCTCCAAACACTAAGCAGTGTGTGTCTATTTTTGGCATCCCGTTTATAAATGGGGCTCATGGTTATTGTGATACACAAAAAGTGCTTTCAAGATTTACATTCAGCTGTACAACTTTATAATATTCTACGCTGCAGTATTTTTATAGAGGATGCTAATTTGTTAGTGAGGTTTATTAGCTATGGGAGTCTAAGCCCTTAGCACGTGTAAGGATATATGGTCAGGGGAAGCTCTAAGAGTGTTTTCTGACAAATCCCCATATGTTAATAAGGAGTATTAACCACACACACTGAGGTTAATGAAGTTCTCTATTCTGTTTTTTTTTAAATTAATCTTTTTGCACTTTTTGGATTATAAGAAGCTGGGTATTTTGTGCACATGTCCAGCTCATGCTCATGTGATAGTCTTCATTCTCCCAGGATAAGATTCCTTTCTTTTCTTGCAGTCTTCAGTGATGTCCCCCAAAGCCAAATTCTCCATTTTCCAGGTTAAATTGGTTGACTTCTGTTTTATAGATACCCTACCAGTTTCAATGGATAGGCTAAAGTTAAGCAATTAATTTTTTTTTTAACCTGTGGAATCAGACTTGTTTCAAATTGTTGACCAGTAAAACCATATGTGTTTATTTCAAACACTTTATATAATATGAGATTCCTGTTTGATCAGCATAATCTTTTTTGAAGAGTGTTATGAACTTAACTATATTAAGTCGGGGTTGCCAACATCACAATGAGCTTTTGGGATCTGGCAAATTTGAATCTCTACCCTACTGCTTTGTGAAGCCATTATGTACTACTCTTTAGTGAGATGCAATAGCCAGCAAACAGCAAGTAAAACCCTACATCCTGGAATAGATCAATGGGCAGAGGATTTGATCACAGAGAAGCAGAAATGAGCTTCAGGAGGGATGCTAAAGGCCAGATGGCTCTGCAGAGGTCTGCCAAGATTTCAGTGGCCCTAGGACAGCCAAGCCAATGAATGGCTTATGCTCAGTCTATTATATAGATGGCTCAAGGGCAAGGAGTCCTGGTTATTTAGCAAAAAAAGGTGGGATTTTTTATTTAACTGCTTCCTAATAGTGGCTGGACTTTGTGACCTTTGCATCTGCTGTCTTTTGCTCATTTGTTCAATTGCTCATTGACTGCACAGGTTCTGTGTTGAGGGCATTTAATTCTCACTGACTGCCCTCATCTCCTTACATAATTACTTACTGAGTGGCTGATATACCCTGGGCACTGTGTTAGAGGCTGGACATATAATTGTGAACAAGATGGACATGGCTTCTGCCTTCATGGAGTTTGTGGTTTAGTGAGGAAGATAAAGAAATCCAACAGCTAATTATAATAATGCATAATGAGGGATATGAAAGAGAAGGTACAGAGTGCAATAGGTGCACAGAGTAGGAGAACCTAAGGTAATCTAGAGGTCAGAGAAGGTCTCCCTGGAAGGCATATATAGGCTGAGACCTGAAGGATAAGTAGGAATTTGCTAGTAAAAGTAAGGAAAAGTGCCAGATAGAAAGGACAGTGTGTATGAAGTTGTGAAATAGAGAGATATTTTGGCATAGTTGAGCAACTTCAGCATAGAGGGAAGAATAAAATGTAGGGCCTGGAGGGTTTCTGTTTCTTTTTCTCTGCTCCTATACCCTATGGTATGAGGTGGGTATGAGAGAGGTGGGGAGAAGGTTTTGATGGGAACAGTGATTTAAATTTTGGCAGGAGAAAATACTTCATTGGAAGTGGGAAGTAGGTCTCCAGAAATGCATCATGGGAATAGGAATTGACTGACCCACAAAGGCAGAGAATTAGGTTTGATTAGGGTTAAATTATCCATATAGTGTGGCTGCTAATGTGGCTGGAGGGTAAAGTGAAGAAGAAACAGCTGAGAATCCATAGAATATAGCAATAACTGAGATAATTTGAATAGTATGTGTAGAGAATGAAGATCTAGAAAGAACCTTGAAGGACATTAAAATTTAGTTGACAGAGGAAAAGCTGCAAAGAAGATTGGGAAGGAGAGGCCAAAAGGAGAGCAGGAAAACTAGCAAATTGTTGTTTGTCACAGAAGTGACAGTAAGAGAGTCCTTTTAGGGTTGGGACTCACCTCAAGATACAAAATTTAAAGGGGTGCCAAAAAACCCCAGTAATTAAGATCAATAATATTTTAATGTAATATTAAAAAAACAACAACCTAAGTCAATGCAAAAGATCCATATGACAAAACATCGAATTTTTAAATAGAGACAAGATCAGAATTATTACATTTTCCTTTTGCTTCAGGTATCAAAAAGGCTCAGGACACTATTAGATTTAGAAATCTTTTATATTTAGAAATGTGATATTTTGTTCATATAAGAAAGATGGAGTGATAAACTGTGTTATATGTGGCTGAGAAGTCAGTCAAGAAACGGGTTGAAATTAGTCCATTGGATTTAGGGACAAGCTATTGTATCGGATCTTCTCTCTACCTTGCTTTAATAAACCATAATTGAGGTTATCTTACTGTCTCCACAAACATAATCACTACCTCCTAAAAAGCCAAATCCTTTTCTGAATTAGAGATTGTATAAACACAAATATACTTTTTTCTTTAAAAGTTTTTTATTCTGGTAAAATACATGTAGCATAAAAATTGCCATCTTAACTATTTTTAAGTATACAGTTCAATGATATTAAGTACTTTATGTTGTTGTGCAAACATCATCATTGTCCATATCCGGAACTCTCTTTGTCTTGCAAAACTGAAACTCTATACCCATTAAAAAACTTTTTTGATTTAAACTCTATTTTGTTTGATATTAGTATAGCCTTTCCTCTTTTTGGTTACCATTTGCATGGACTATCTTTTTGTTATCCTCTCACTTTCCCCCTATTAGTGTCTTTGGATCTGAAGTGAGTCTCTTGTAGACAGCATATAATTGGATCATTTCCCCCCATCCTGCCATTCTCTGTCTTTTGATTGGAGAATTTAATCCATTTACATTTAAAGTAATAACTGATAAGGAGGGACTTCTATCTTTTTGCTATTTATTTTCTATATACCTTATAGTTTTATTTTTATCTCTCATTTCCTGTGCTTACAGCTGAAATTGACTGAAATTAACCACAATTTGCTGTCCAAGTTTTCCCTTGGAAGTTGCAAGCCTTCAGTAGACTCCACACATCCAAAATATTAATAGTTACATCAGACAGATTCTGCCAGTGTAATTGTTATCTGGGTTGGGACACAGATTCTTGGTGCTTCTTATTCCACCATTTTTTCCAGGATCCTCTCTCTCCAAGCATACGTTTTTAACTTCATGGTATCTTTCATATTGACTTTAAAGTGAAGTGAAATAATTCCTTAATTTTATGAATTTATCTTTGTTTTGGCATGCTCATTTTACTTTAATTTTTAGAGATTTTTATTAAAAATATAGTTAGCATACAATATTATATATGGGTGTACACAATAGTTTTTCAATATTGATATACCTAAATAAATGATCACCTTGATAAGTCCAGCAACAATCTGACACTATACTACACTATCACAATATTATTGGCTCTATTTCCCATGCTGTACATTATATCCCCAGGACTTATTTGTTTTACACCTGGAAATTTGGGCTACTTATTGCCCTTCCTCTTCCCCCCTTTTTAATATTTCAGTTACAGCTGACACTCAATATTATTTTATATTAATTTCAGGTGTACAGCATATGGTTAGACATTTGTATAATTTAAGAAGTGATTCCCCCTGACTAGTCTAGTACACACCTGGCACTATACATAATTATTACCATTTTATTGACTATATTCCCTATGCTTTACTTTACATCCCCATGACTATTTTGTAATTACCAATTTACACTTTAATTCCTTCATCTTTTCCACACTGCTCTCCAACCCTTCTCCCAACTATCACCCTGATAAATCTAGTACCCATCTGACACCATACACAGTTATTACAATATTATTGACTATAATCCTTATGCTATACCTTA